AGTAATATCATTTCACAAAATTAAATACTGTAATAACAAAAAAGTGTAAAAACAAGATCTCAATCTTCTCTTCAAAATATGGATAAAAATAAAAGATTTGATTGCATTCATCTATATTGTATCGAATTTGCAGACCTACCTTCAGCAGACGAGATCAGCAGATGATAATGTCTTACTATTTATAATAGAATCTGGAACATGGAGAGCATCTCCCCAAGGAACCATCCAGGTAATTGTGAAAGGAATCATGATTCCAATTCTAGAAATATCTCAGGAGTAGGACAAGCGAAGGGGTGTTCATTGGAAGAATAATTATTTTAATAAAATTAAGAAATCAAAATTCTTGATATGGTAAAACTTCTCTCACCTTCACATGGGTTCTGCCCTCTTTTATTCACACTTGGCAGTTATGCATGTCAGGAAAATATTCTTGGTTTGCATCTTGCAAAATTTTAGTCAGCATTTTCTGTTGTGTTACAGGTCTAATAAGTAATAAATACTGTCTGTCAGGATACATGATTACAGCATCTCATGCCCTACGCATCTCATCGTTGTTGTTTTTACAGATGTCAGTTGCATCAAAAGTATAGATCATTTGGAAACATTTGGAGAGAATGGGTACAAGTAAAGGTGTTGGTGAAGCAGTCAATTAGAGCAGAGCAATTTGACTCATAGAGTTTTAGCTATTCTGGGAGTCAGTACAGCGTCAACTTTGAAGTCAGACAGATGAGGAATCATACCTTGGCTCCACCATTATAGCTATGTGACCTTGGAAAAGTAACACTTCTCAGCCTCAATACTCATCTGTAGAGTGGGGAAACTATCTTGTAGTGTGATTTGATGATCCCAGATGACATAGGGATGACTCTCAGCACAATGCCTGTCTTACATGACACACTCAAATAATTGAACTTACTTATGCGGTTTCATCTCTAAACAGTTTACAGGTTTGATCTCACCACCTCTGTAGTTGTGACTAATATTATCCCTATGTTGTAGAATAAAAATATGAATGTGGAAAGTAACTATGAGATTAAGCTTTTCTACCAAGTTTAGATAGCTAGCAAGCTAAAAGTCCAGAGTGGTAACCTAGCCTATTCACAAACTAAACTATATACCGTTTCAATTTAGTTTGGAAATTCATGGACATTACTGTGCTCAGGCAAAGTTTTCTTCTGAATTTTTCAGTGCCCAAGTATCCAGAACTCCTGAGTTCTTTGGCATTTATTATGAAGAAAATACAGCAGATGAACTTTTGGCACCATTAAGCACTTTTTTATGAGAATGTGGCTTTGAAAAGAAGAAAGTGTGTGTGTGTGTGTGTGTGTGTGCGCATGTGTTAAAGAAAGAGAAGTGACACAGAGAAAAAAATACACTTAGTATTGAAGATGCTTAAATATAATGAAGTTGATAGACATAGAAATAAATGTAACAATAACATCTATTTTTAAAAATATTTTACAGAAATATCCTGAATTTTCAGCTAATGGCAAAGTTACTTTAAGTTCATCTCATGGAAATTATGAACCAGAAGAGACCTTGGAGATCAAAGACTAAAACCTAAAAATTAACTAGATGACTAATAAAAATGGAATTTTCCAAGGTCACTCAAAAATTAATTTAAAATTTGGAAACAGAGTATGAACATGATTTTACCATTGACCTGGTGTCAATTATAATTTGATGGAAACTATCCATAGTTGTCACTGGGTAGTGACCAAGAAAGATAAGAGCAGGTAACAAGATAAACTCCATTTCATTGGTGAAAATAAACAGACTCTTTTCTGCCATATATTAGGACCCCTCTACCCCCACCCACCACCCACCCTCGTCCCTCTGGTCACCGTCACACTATGGTCTGTGCCCATGAGTTTCAGTTTTACATCCCACACATGAGTGAAATCATATGGGTCTTAGCTTCTTCGAACAGACTTATTTCACTTAGCATAATATTCTCAAGATAGTTTTTTATTGTTGTTTATGTATGTTTTATTTTTTAACACTGTGAAAAAAAGAAATTTCTTAATAAATGATTTGTGTTGATAAAAGATGACTTTTAATAGCTATTCTCATATTTATAGTTTCTACCCACATAAAAGAGAAAATAAATTAACATGTTTGAGAAATATGATTTAAAATTTATTGCTAAAGATAATTATTCACAAATGTGATAGTATAATTTTCAGGTCACAATCTCTATATTATAAAGCATAAAATGTTATCGCTCTAATTGAACTTAATTAATATTTTGAGGCTCCATTTTTCAAAGTAGAAGACATTTAGCTTGACTAATTTCTCTCTCTGCTTTCCATAGGGCTACACCTAAGTTCTAGGAAATGAATGCACTCCAAGACATTGGGAAACTCAGTTCTTGACCTTGGTGTCATTGTCTACTGACATTGACTTTTTTATGTATGTTTGTATTCATTTATTCATGTATTTATCCATTTACCCTGTGCCTGGGATACAGTTAAAAATAATACCTGCTCTCAGGGAGCTTATGTTCCAGTGAAATACCCTCATTCTGCCTGATGAGTCTTCCATGTTTAGAACACTGTGAAGTCTTAATTTTTGCCAGTTTTACATACTTTTTTGCCCCTTCAGTAAACAGGGAACCGTTTGTAGCTACCACACTATGCTGGACCATGGAAGGCCTTGGGAGACAAGCCCTGCTTCTCTAGACACATGCCACATCATTATTATTTAGGGAACTTGCAGCTCCCAATAGTTGAACTGGGAAAGAAAGAATACAGGCCATGCTAGTACTTGGTTCTACAAACCTAATAGAATGTTATGTACACCCTCTATTCCCAAATCTCATGCAGAGAAATTGGATAAAGGACATAGCTTGCCCTGTTTCTCAGGCAAACACATCTGAAAACTTCTATCTTATCCTTTGTCTCTCCCCTTTCTCTAAATTAGAATATTTTTCTATATGTTTTAATAAACTCAATATTCACATTTATTATTTATTTCTGAGTTCCTCTTTCCTTGCCTAATGTGTATGTAATATATAATTGTATTATAATATTAACTAACATTAAGCATTAAGTGAATAGAATTACTTTTAACAGTGATAACCTAGAAAACAAGACTGGGCCATCTACCAGTCAACAAGTTTTTAATAAATGTTCAAAAACCCTGATAACCATTTTTCATTTTCTCACAAGCATAACAATCAGCATATTGATAAATTTTATCTCTACCAGAAAAATTGTTTTCAAGCCAAAGACTTATTTAATGAACTAATGGCTAGATTTTATTAATTAAATTAACAAAATGATAATAATCTTTATATATAAACTACTGTTGTGCCCATTCCCTTAACTTTTATAAAACAGGGCTAGATGTCAGAGGACACACCATCAGGTTTGACCAGTAGTTAGAATATCAGGCATATCCCTGTGCTAGGTATTACTTCTCTCATCCCGTAGTAATTCACTGAGCCTGTGATCCCAAAAAGTTATGTTTCAATATTTAGAGGTTTGGAGAATATGCATCTCACACCAGCCAAGTAACACAATTCTAGCTCTTTCTTGAGTTTGAACTTATTGACACCAGATAGTTTTACACTTATGAAAAATCCTGTCATGACAATGGTCCATGAAGACCACAAGAACTCTTCTCCGACACAGATGATAATTGCTTCTTTGCCTTTATTGCTAAGACATTTTAAGGGATAGTGTTAACCAATGAATGAGCTAAGTAAGAAAATTATAGTGCACCCTAGCTCTTCACTGATTAAATATTAGGAACTTTGACCATTCTCTGACAACCTCAAAGGATTAAGGTACATTGTAATCTGGCTGAAAATTTAAATGCCATGTACTAGGATGGTGAAGGGAGTGAGGTGAAGGTCAGAATGAGCGTGCGCCTCTCATGTGCATCTGAGGCAGCCACACTGCCCATGTTGACATCTAAGCAAAACTAAGCCGAGCATCATGATTTATAAAACAACTTCAGTTAAATAACTGTTAAAAATGGTTTGTTTGTGATTTTAAAAGAATGCCCCTGAATGCATAAAAATGTTAGGAAGTTTAAAAATTAGATACTACGTACTATCAGCCTACATAAAGGAAACACAATCTTCTATAAAATCTTGATTTCTCACACAGCCAGATGCACTTAGAAAACACATCCAATAAGGCATTTTTATGATGCTGCAAGAAAAAGATTACTTAGTTGTAATATTGAGACTTTGGGGAGGGGAGGTTTATGTGACAATGTTTTAAAAGAGATTTCACCCAAGAACATTTGTGCAGACCTTTTCAGGTATCTAAGATCTTTCCATCACCCGTGAAATAATTTAAAGTCCTGGGAATCATTGGAAGTGGGTCAGAAAGTCATTACTTAAATGAGTAATAAGTGAAAGTGAGGTAATTTTTAAAAGTGGAGGGTAGATTGCTATTCACCAAGGAGGTGATGGCAGAACCCTCATGTTTTCGCCTGACACAGTGTCCTGGAATAAAAGTTCCCTAAACTCTCTTGCAGGGAGGTTTGAAGATATGATTAAGTTGGCCTAAGACATATGAGAAAACATGTTGTGTGGAACTTTTAGAACATTTGAAGATTATTTGCACATGTGGGCTGGCTTCTGAGCAGCCATTGTGCATCATAAAGTGACCTTAGGAATGTAAGCTGTCGCTAAAGTAAACCAAGCTGTAAGGGACTCAGAGACCAAGCCTAATAAAGCTGACACCCAAATTGGAGACTGCTAACCTCCAGGCTTCTTTTATCTGACAGACACAGGAAACAAATAGATTCAGATTTGTTCAAGCCACTATTTTTTTTTAAGAAATGTCACCAGTCGATACAGGATTGTGAATGAATTCCCTAAATGTTACCATTTTCAACCACTGATTTCGAGAGTTTTAATCTCATCAGCTACCTGACACAAAAGGTTAGAAATGTATTCTGAAAAACTAGCTTAAAAAGAGATGTCTAACCCAATAATATATCTTGCAATGTCTACAAATATTTTTAATGACAGTTGGGCACTTTTATTTCCCCAATTTTTGCCTCCCCATCGCTCTTCTCAGTGCCTGTTTCACATCTTTGTTCCTGAGGCCGTAGATCATGGGGTTCAGCATGGGGATCACCGTGGCGTAAAACACAGCCACCACTTTCCCCTGCTCCACAGACTCCTCTGTGGGGCGTCTCAAGTGCATGCAGAGGAGGGTTCCGTAGAAGATTGTGACCACAGTCAGGTGGGAGCCACATGTGGAGAAGGCTCTTTTCCTTCCTTCCGCAGATCGGCTCCTAAGGATGGCGACAAGGATGAGCATGTAGGACGTGAGGATGATCAGCAGGGACTGCGCGTTGCTGTAGCCAGCGACAATGTACATCGACAGCTCCTTGCTGTAGGTGTCAGAACACGCCAGCCTGATGAGGGGAGGATCGGCACAATAGAAATGGTTAATCTCATTAGCGCCGCAGAAGGAGAGGCTGTAGGTCCTCAAGGTCTCCATCACACTAAGGAGGGAGCCATAGACGTAGGGGACAATGACCAGGCGGACACAGACGCTCTTGGACATCCTGCTGCCGTAGAGCAGTGGAGTGCAGATAGCCACGTAGCGGTCATATGCCATGACCGCCAACATGCAGTGCTCTGTGAGGACCACGGCGATGACCAGATAGCACTGCACCAAGCAACCTGCATAGGAGATGGTCTTCTTTTCCGAGAAGAAATTCTCTAGCATTTTGGGAGTGACATTTGTGGAGAAACACAGATCTAGAACAGACAGACTTGAGAGAAAGAAGTACATGGGAGTGTGGAGCCGAGAATCAATTTTGATTAACACAATCATGCCCACGTTGCCTATCACAGTGACTATGTAGACCACAAGGAACACCACGAAGAAAGCAACTTGCAGCTCTGGGCGGCTTGTTAGGCCCAAGAGAATAAATTCTGTCACTTCAGTGTAGTTTCTTCTGGACATTTTTTGTCTCATAAGAGAGGCATTGGTTTGATTATCTAAGGAGAGATATAAAAGGGTTTTTTTCATCACAGAATACTGTATCGGATTAAATATTGTAAAAAGATTTAAAAGGCCTTAGTTATGTCATCTCAGTAGCATTTCCGCAATTAGGTATGAACAGATATATCATAAGCAAGTCTGAAAGTTTTCAACAAATGACTTTCATTCAGGTTGTATTTGTAATCACACTGTGTGCAGTTAAGTTGGAAACTAAAGATAATATTATAAATTTAAGTATCCTGATACTTTGAAAAAATTTTTAACTCTAAATAACTTATCTGTAGAAGAAAATACTATAATATAAATTTAGAAATGCTTAGAATTCTTGTCTGCATTCTTTCATATGTATACATAGATACATGGAAGGTTAGAAAGCACTTTGAAGACCACAAAGTAAAGTTCATTCTGAAGACTGAGAAATTGAATTGTAGGGAGATGAGATGACTTATCCTTCAGACCTTCATCTCATATTTCCCAGTTCGGTGATTTACTGATGTATTACATATCTCACCAAATACAAATTTACAAACAAATTTTTATATGTTAGCAATTGCATAAGTTGAAGTTTATACCTAAATATTCTTTTCTGCGGGACAATATTGACGTTAGTAAGTGTCATTACCAGAGAACTTGTCCGAGGCTGTGTAAAACTTCTCATACGCTCTGGACAGACTTAGACTATCTATGTGAGTAGTGCTTCATTTCTCACCTCCCCTCAGTCTATAAGTGAACCTAATGGATGTGGTTAATTTGCTGCTTGAAGGCATAACAACACAATAACAGTAATAATTGTTGGGTTCTTACAATCCATGCAGCATATTAAAGCACTTTCCATTTATTATTTTATTTAATTCTAAAAGTCCAATGAAATAGATGCTATATCATACCATTTTACAGTCCAGAAACACAGACGGTGTCTTCTGATTTCAAATCTTACACTCTTAGCTATTAAATATTATGAGGTCTTTCAATAATGGTACTCATCTTATTAGCATTCAGTGTTCTGGTTCATAAAACACTTTCAGCCACTTTATAAAACCTTGTAAGCCATCCAGTTATTCATGTATCCATGCTTATGTAAGCAATTCTGGCTCACAGCTCAAAAATGGAAGAAACCCGGGGAGGAGTCAGATATTAGAGTTCTCTGTCTAGTGTTCTTCCTCTGCACCATGCTGCTTCCCCAGAAAGTCCATCACTTCCTCTCAGCTGAATGGACTGCTTGGGGACCAATAATAACTGTTGCCCAAAATGTTAAAATTCAATTTATTGTCATAATTAGCTCACTTATTAATATTAATATTAGGAAGAAAGCAAAGGGGAGGCCAGACATTGTAAGCAAGGTCATCTGAGCAGCTTGACCAGGAAGCTTCAGCTTCATGCTCCCCAGGGAACCACCGGTCCATTCTCTGCAGATCACCGGGGGAAGGGACCAAAAAAAGGGGGAGATGAGCACATGAGCAGTGAAGGCGGGGTGATGTAGGGAAGGTGCTTGCCTGTCAGTCTAGCCTGGGGAACAATGAACTGACTAGAAGGGTGAGACCACTGCAAGTACACAATATCTTGGAAGGGTAAAATCCCCTAGACAAAGAGTTCTCTCTCTTGTTCTGCTCTTGCCCTTGAGCTCTCTTGTTCCCTCACCCTCACTTGCCCCATGCACTTGTCCGCCACCTGGTCTGCATGGCCCAGGGCTGTGCAGATTTGACACTCAGGATGCTAGACTGGACTGTGCTTTAATAAGGAGCAGAGACTCTGGATAGTGGCCTTAATTCTTGCCCTGCTGAAGACAAGATTGGACTTTTTCCATGGCAGAAGGGAGGGGAATGGGACATTGGAAACCCAGGGTTTTAATTCCATGGAAATAAAGATCATTCATCCTCCCATCCAGCAAGAACTCCACTTCTGCCTGTAACAGGTGGGAATGCAGAGGGCACTCCACTGATAACAAATCTGTCTAATATTATTACTCCTTATTCTGCAGCAATGACTGCACTGTAGGCTACCAGGAAAAATCAAATATGAACAAAATAGGATCTTGAACTAAAATTGCCTTTTTTTTTTTTTTTTTTTT